CACCCAGTCCTTATAAAAGCAAGAACCAACTCTATTTGCAACCCAAAATGCTCAAGATTCACAAACTGGGGCACCTTAGAGTCTGGAAACAGAAAGTTCTGGAATAAAAAGGACTGACTCAAAGTGAACTGACCCTAGATTCTCCCCACCCTTCACGTTCTGAGGGCCTTTCTCCCACTCAGCACAGACTAGAAATTTCTCTGGAAACGTAACAAGCAGTGCTGCTGATTATAAACTGTCCCCTGAAAATGAGAGGAGCCAAAGCCGGCCGGATGCTGAGACCTTGGCCTCACCCAGACCCTGGTACCCAGAGCCTTCCTCTCCAGACATAAGCCAGGAGACTCCTGGCTGGGCAGTCTGCCCGGCTCAGACACACTTGCTTTCTTGCCTCCCTAACTTTCCCACGCCACAACAAAAACGCATTCACTCCTCAAGCCCCACCCCAAACCTACCTCTTCCATGACACTGTGTTTCTTCCTCTGTGTTCCTGCAACAAGACTGGGACTCTCCCTAGCACCTATCACCATTATAAGTAGTGACTGGAGCTGAAGAAATGGCTCAGGGGTTAAGAGCACTGCCTGCTCTGCTCTTCCAAGCATCCTGAGTTGAATCCCAGCAACCACATGGTGGCCCACAACCATCTGTAAGATCAGGTGCCCTCTTCTGGTCTACAGGCATATGATGCAGACAGAACACTGTACATACATAATAAATAAATAAATCTTTAACAAAAAAATCAGTGGCTGTATGCAGTTATTTATTATCTGCTATTTATAAGCAAGCAATTGGTATGAGAAGGGGCCTGTCATCCACTGGGGCTCTGCAATGTGCTGGAACACACTATTGCATCCCTGAGAGCAATACTATTAGGAAGCTGCTGCTAAGTGTAGGGGATCTGGGGCTACATCGTCATCTCTCACTTTACCTTCCTTATTAAAATAAAACTGCGGAGGACAACAGTTGGGTTTTGCTCACCTGTAAAAGTTTAAAACTTTTCAGACTTAGATAAAAGCTTGGGGTCTACAGGTTATCGTGTCTTAGATCTGGGAAGTTACATATTTGAATCTTTTAAGTATATGAGCAAAGGCTAAATTGTTTTTCTATTAACAATTTTCATAAGGTACAGTTTGCACATGTATATGTGAGGTTTAAAAACAACAACAAGCCGGGCGTTGGTGGCGCACGCCTTTAATCCCAGCACTCGGGAGACAGAGGCAGGCAGATCTCTGTGAGTTCGAGGCCAGCCTGGTCTACAGAGCGAGTTCCAGGACAGCCTCCAAAACAATATAGAGAAACCCGGTCTCAAAAAAAAAAAAAACAACAACAACAAGAACAACAAAACATAACTTCTGGAAAGGATCTGTCTAAAACCTGAAGTTGAACTCATTTCCCTGAGACTTACAGCAATGTAGACACTATAGAAAAAAAGATGATTCCGTGGAAAATAGAGCCACAGAACCTATCCACAATAAAGCACAAGGACAAGCAAGACTGACAGTAAACAAAGCGGAGTGGCATGAGGGACTCTCAAGAGCAAGTCTTCTAACAGACTCTAAGAAGGAGGAGCACACCGAAGTATTTGAGAAATGACAGAAGAGTTTTCTAAATCTTACGAACACAGTACAATCACAAGTCCAAGAAGTTTTGAATGAGTTCTAACCAGGACAAACATTAACTCACTGACTTAAAAACCAGACTAAATTCATAAAACTATGAGAAAATGAGTAAGAAAGAAACCTTATAAGTGGTGGGGGGTGAGGGGGGAGAATGATAGGGAAAAAACACATCAGTCTACAATTAAACCAGTCACCTCCAACAACAAATACTTGATTTGAATATACTAGCAACGGCTAAGATAACTGTCTGTTGGCTTATTTATTTTGTGGCTTTGAGATAAGCCCAGGTTGTGTCTGAACTCAACATGTTGCTGAGGACCACCCTGAACTCCTGATCCTACTTCGACCTCCCGAATGCTGGAATTACAGGTAGGAACCATCACAACTAGTTTATGCAAACACAGGTCTCCAGGGAAGCTAAACAAATTCTACTAAAAGAGCTATAGCCCCTCCATGACTAAGAAATTTGGAAGGAAAACTCTCATTCTTTCTTCTAAATTTCTAGTTTTTCCAATAAGGTTCTTCTTATTCTAAAAATGTGCTTTAAGATATCTTTTCCAGTGTACATTTTACCTCAATTTGCTAAAATGTACATAAAGATTGTGAGTGTTAAGACTCTCCTTCTGCTTTGAGCTTTTGTGTTTATTCTCTCTTCAAACTCCAATGGAGATCATGAAGAGGGTCACCAGGGATCTCAGAGCAATAACAATTTAAAAGTGAGCAGACAGAAGTGTGGCCCTCTGTCCTGCACAATAAAGTTCTGAAGTTCAAAAAAAAAAAAAAAAAGACTCTCCTTCTGTTTGGTAGTCCAGGTACACAAAAAGGAACTTGTATATGGAAGAATCTAGGAACAAGGTAGATCCGCACAACGGATATAATAAAAGGAATGTGGAGTACTCAAAATGATTGACGCAGGAAACAAGATGGCCATGGCCAGGGGTTGGAGGTATGGGAAATGGAGACATTCTGCTGATCAGTACAGAGTTTCAGAAGGGAAACATAAAAGTCTTGTAGAGATGGAGAACAAGATTTCATCTGGGGACTGTGAGATAGCTCCCTGGGTAAGGGTGCTTGACAATAACCCTTCCAACATGAGTTCATTGCCAGAACTCACACAATGGAAGGAGAGAAATACTTCTGGAAACTGTCCTCTGACCTCCTCTACCCATGAACACAGGCACACTCACAAATAATAAATCAATCAGTAACAAATGTTTCATCTTCTAGGCAAGATTTAAAAGACAGCAAAAGGGGCTGGAGAGATGATGGCTCAGTGGCTAAGCACATGTCCTACTCTGTCATCAGAGAAACCGAGATCAGTTCCCAGGAACAACGTCAGGTCCTCCGGGAGGATTCCACATCTCAGGACTCTGTAGGCTTATACACTTAAAACACACACACACACACACACACACACACACACACACACACACACATTAAAACCATAACAAAAGTGAACAAAACAGAAAGTTGAAAGAACTACACCAAATTAGAGAACTGAGTCCCACTACAGCCCTGGCCCCCCAAACATCAGCTCAGGCACTACAGAAATCCATCCACAGAGGAAAACGAGGCTCAATGCTCCAACAGCCTCCTCTGCCCTCTGGGCAAACCCAGCATCCAAGAAGACTCATTCCCTATCACTTACCAGGGTTGCCAGATATTACTGAGGTATTTTCTTCTTCCTTCTCTGGAACTTCCTTTGCCTTCTTCTTAATGGGTCCATCATTCCCCAATGATCTCTTCCTGCTGTCACCTTTTGTAACCTGTATCAGGAAAGTTGGAAATAGTGTGTTAATGCCATCCTAAGGTTTGAAGTCATTTAAACCTTGCTTTGGAATAGCAGTAGTTCCCTGCCTTCTACTCTTCATAGAGTGATCTACTTTTACCCTGGGAAGGCTTTGGGGTAACTATGAGAGATGGAAGCTGGCAGGTTTAGCCTCTCATCACCTCTCATCCTGCTGAAATCAAGTGCTGTTCTCCACCTTTCCTACTTACAAATATTAAATAAAACACCTCTAAAGGTAAACAAAAAAATTTCAAAATGCAAAATTATGGGAGAAGATGAAATAATAAACAATGTATTTTCTGTTTCAAAGCTTGCATCCACTATTAAAAGACGTCCTAGGACTATTGGTTGGCAGGTAATCTAAGAAAAATTTAACACTTTCCCCCAGTATTCTGTCAATGTGGGTGCAAAATAAAACCTTGGAGAATTCATGAAAATGTAGCTCACTCTCAAGAGGGGTGTGGGGAGGGGGGGGAACCAGTATAAGGAAGAAAAATAAATTAAAGAGTTTAAGATTCTTAAACTTAATAATTTGCACCTGCATTAAACAAAGTAGATAGCTAAAGCCAGTTTACAACCACCTTCTTCAACCTCAATCTGGAAAACGACAGAGTCCAGACCCAAGACGCCCTGCGCAAGCGTGCTACATCCCCAGGCTGTGTGGGAAATATAACCTCCAGGGCTGCTCACTCTTGGGTCTGCATTTGTGACAATATCACTATGGGTTTTAGTTTTGTTTTGCTTTGCTTTGGACTATTTGAGGGGCTGCAAGCAACAGAAATAGTCAACGATAAGTCATCTACGAGAACTTCGTCCACCCAAATTCTTATTTTGCACGGAGAGGCTGCACAGTAGAAGAATGTTCTGGCACAGTGATCTTAAATACTGAGCAGTGTTTCTGAATTCTGAAAACTACCCTTAAAGACACCTTTGTTCTAGTCAGCCACGCAAGCTTGTGTAAATAAAGTTCCTCTTCAACCATCAATGTAACGGGGACAGAGGAGGTTAAAGGATGTAGCCTGGACCTGCCAGACTTGGTCATTCGCCTAAACAGAAGTTTCCGCCTCAGGTTCCAGTTAACGACAGGAGGCAACAAGATCTCAAATCTACCACCTCTAATCGGCTAACTAAAACCTTTCAACCAAAACAAGAACCCCGTGGATGTCACCCCCTTTTTCCTTCCCCGACTCCGCCACTTCTTAGTACTCCCCACCATTAAGCTCTCCACACTGCCTCCACTTCCGGCGCGACACCCACGTGCCCGCTCCGATCCGCCGCTGACCCCGCCCCCGGCCGGCTGGCTCCGCCCCGTCGAGGACAGAGCCCACCCCCGGCAGCCTCCGCCAAGGCGGAGCGGAGCGGTAGACGCTGGGGGCGCTGAGGAGTCGCCCTCTACCTTCTCTGCTGACGCGGTGGGGGACGCGGTGGATCTCAGGCTTCCGGAAGACTGGAAGAACCGGCTCAGAACCGCTTGCCTCCCCGGGGCTTGGGCGGCGGAAGAAAGGCCGCTAGACGCGGACTTGCTGCGGGGCATCGCAGGATGCAGAAGAGCAAGCCCGCCGGGAGCGCGCGGCCGCACTACCCCGCGCCTGCGCGCGCGCACGCCGCGACCTGAGCGGGCCGGCCTGGTAGGGGCGGACCCAGCCTGGTGGAGGCGGAGCCTGGCGGGGCGGGGCCTCTAATGTACAAATAGGATGCGGGCCCTGTTGAGGGCGGGGCCTCCGATGCACAAGTGGGAAGCGGCGCCGGGCCGCTGCAGTTTCGCGCCAAACTTGAGGGGAAACCTGGCGTGCGGGCTGTCTAGGAGGTGATCGCCGCTGCTGTCATGGTTCGACCACTGAACTGCATCGTCGCCGTGTCCCAGAATATGGGCATCGGCAAGAACGGAGACCTGCCCTGGCCTCTGCTCAGGTACTGGCCGGACTGGGTTAGGGAAACCGAGGCGGTTCGCGGAATCGGATCGTGCGTGCACTTGGCGGGGACGCGCGGACCGACCTACTTAGGGACAGTCGCGAGCGGGTAGGCCCGCCGGCTGCATCCCCGGCCGGTGTCCGCGGTGATCCCCATGCTGTGCCAGCCTTTGCCCAGAGGCGCTCTAGCCGGGAGCAAAGTCCGGTCACAGTGCAGCACCACCCCCCAGACTTGCATGGGTAGCCGCTGAGCTGGATCCTGAGCACACGTTAACCTGTTAACACAGTGTTTCTCTAACTTTCAGGAACGAATTCAAGTACTTCCAAAGAATGACCACCACCTCCTCAGTGGAAGGTAATTTGGGGTTAAGATGAGGATTCTAGAGTTTGTCTGAAGCAAGATTTCCAATGCATGCGTATTAAGTGCGAAGTCTCCCTCGGGAATCTGGGAGATTCTGCTTCTTGGCAGAAATTTTTGTGCGGTTCCCAGAGTTTGTTAAGCGTCCTCTTTAATATACATGTATTTGAAATTATGTTAGCAAGAGCAGTTAACTGGACCGAATCCGCAGCAAAATTTAGCTCTTTGAATATAGAGAACAGAGCCGGTATTTAGAATTGTCGCTGGAACACATAAAGTGTAAGTAAATAGAGGAGAGTGCAGGGAGAATAGGCTAAAATACGATTAAACACTATGTGGTGAACTCTTGGATTTCTGGAGGCAGGAAGGCACGGTGGGTTGAAGGTCTGACCTTCAGTGAGGCAGTCTGGGGGTCAGGCTTGAGATAAAAGAATGGGGGTGATGTACACTTATAAGTCAGTTTCCAGCTGCTTGTAGGACACTCCTTGTAATTTGTCCCTAACAGACATATTTGTTTGTCATAGTAAGAGAGGAACGGCTCGGTGGGTTTTGACCTCTTCAGGGGTTGAATGACCATTTCACAGGGGTGACAGAAGACCATTGGAAAACAGTTATTTACATTATGATTCATAACGAAATTACATTTATGAAGTAACAACGAAAATGATTTTATGGCTGGGGTCACCACAACAAGGGGAACTGTATTAAAGGGTCACCGCCTTAGCATGGTTGAGAACCACTGGCAGAGAGAATGGGGAAACAGAAGTCGGCATAGTAGACAGCGTTCATGGGACAGGTAGAAAGCATATTAGGTCACTGGTGGACAAGTGCCATTAACACGGTCTGCTCTCAATCTAAATATCAGGATTGGGGAAACAGCTCAGTCAGTAAAGTTGTGAAGGCCTGAGTTCAAATCCCAACACCCAAATAAAAATGTGGGCCCAGTGGGACACATTTACAATGCCAGCACTAGGGAGGCAGAAACAGATCCCTGGGGCTTGTTCTCTAGCCAAATTTGTGGGTTACAGATTCAATGAGAAATCTTGTCTCAAAAGATAAGGAGAAGCCGGGCGTTGGTGGTTCACACCTTTAATCCCAGCACTTGGTAGGCAGAGGAATGCGGATCTCTGTGAGTTCGAGGCCAGCCTGGTCTGCAGAGTGAGTTCAAGGATAACCTCTAAAACAATACAGAGAAACCCTGTCTCGAAAAAATAAATAAGTAAATAAAGTGGAGGCACCCATCTTCACTGTGTGGCCTGTGCATACAGGTACACAGTGCATGCAAAATAAAAACTAATTTTTTCAAGATTATTTTTCCTTCTAATGTGTTTTGAGAATGCCTATATACAAGTATGTATACAATATATGTGCCTGGTCCCCACAGAGGCAGAAGAAGATGTCAGTTCCCTGGAACTGCCTCTAGATGAGGGTGCTGAGAACCAAAGCCAGGTCCTCTGCTATGCTTCTAACAGCTAAACCATCTCTCTCACTCCCAAAGTCATTCTTTGTTAAGGAATCCTAAATATGACCTGGTAATTATCACTGTTCCTTTGATCCAGCTGTCTGACGCTCAAGTTTTTTTTTTCCCAAGCAATTAAATAAGAGATAAGTTTTCATGAAAGTGTTTTTTGTTTGTTTGTTTTTGAGACAGGGTTTCCGCTGTGTTGTTTTGGAGCCTGTCCTGGAACTCGCTCTGTAGACTTCACAGAGATCCGCCTGGCTCTGCCTCCTGAGTGCTGGGATTAAGGGTGTGGGCCATCCACGCCTGGTTTAACTGTGTTTTTTATTTGAAAGTTTGTATACATTTATACAGTGTATACAGAGCACATCCATTTATCTTCTCACTCCTTGTGCCCTCTTCTCCTTCCCTAATTCATGTTCTTGTGGTTAGTAATAACCCTGTGTGTGGTGGTCAGCTGGGGCATGAACAGTCTATAACCAGCCCAACCTAAGAGCTACTCTCCCTCTCTCAGCAGCCCCAGTGACCTATAGCTGTCTAATAGGATGGGACCTCGAGAGCCCCTCCTCCCTAACCCCCAGTGACCAATAGCTGTCTAATAGGATGGGACCTCGAGAGCCCCTCCTCCCTAACCCCCAGTGACCAATAGCTGTCTAATAGGATGGGACCTCGGGAGTCCCTCCCTGCTGGGATTTTGACTGGCTGTGAGTTGGTGCATACAGACATCAGCCATATCTCATCCAGAAGTCCATCTTTCACATCTCTCTCCCTCTTCCAGCAACTGTTATGTTCTTTCTGCCCCCCTGCCTCAATAGTCCCTGACCTTTGAATAGTGGGTGCTAGTACAGATGACTCAGAGAACAGTAGTTTTAGATGGTAAATACAAGTTATGAGTCTTTAATCTCAGATTTCCAAAGATTTTAATCTTTTCTCCATTTTAGAATTTAATAAAGCATATGGGGTTATCTAGTGGATGACAAATCTCGTCAGCCTGAGCACTTTGAACAAAAATTATGTGTGGTTGCAATTGACTAAAACCTAAGTAGAAGATGTAAATTGGATGAACCAAATGGAAAAATAAGTACTATATTTAGTTAATAATGAGTACTGAATCTGAAATTTGGATGAAGCTGTTTGTCTTAATTTTTCTAAAGGATATCCACTAGATGTCACTATGACAATGGTATCTTGCCTGTGTATGACACTAAAAATATGTGTGTTCTCAAAAATATCCTTTCTGCTTGATTTTGTAGGTAAACAGAACCTGGTGATTATGGGACGGAAAACCTGGTTCTCCATTCCTGAGAAGAATCGACCTTTAAAGGACAGAATTAATATAGTTCTCAGTAGAGAGCTCAAGTAAGTGACATGAGGTCACCACAGAAAACTGTTCTAGATCCCAGGGCATATACCAGTACATATAAAGTGAACATCTGCATGCATGTGTGTGTGTGTGTGTGTGTGTGTGTGTGTGTGTGTGTGTGTGTGTGTGTGTGTGAATATGTACATACATACGTATGTGCAGGCAAGAGCCCGTGTGAGCGACCATGCATACAAAGCTGTGCATTGTTCTTCCTAAGAATCTGTCCACCTCGTTTTCTTGAGACTGTGTCTCTCACTGTGATCTGGGGCTCATGTATTAATTAAGCTAGGCTAGCTGGCCAGGGAGATCCAAGAATCTTCGTGTCTCTGCTGATCCACTGAAAAGATGACAAGGGCATGCCACCAAGCCCAGCTTCCTTTTACCAGGTGCTGGGGACCAAGCTTAGGCCCTCATTCCTACACAGTGGATACTTAACTGTGTTATCATCCAACCCTAATAAATGACTCACTATCCAAACAAATTGACAACATCAGAATTCAACCAACACTCTAAAGAGACTAGAGCCTTAATCTGCCAACTTAGACCATTCAGCCACGATACCTAACTGAATATTTTAATATCGCAAAGAGGCAACAGAAACCAAGTGGGCAGTTATGCCATGTGGCAACTTACGTGGTTGATTTTTATCACCTTAAATATTAGGGGAAAATGTGTTAAGTTTTGCAAGTTCCTTTAAACCATTATTCCATAGGCCTAGCTATCAGTTTTTTAGTATGATAAGTTGTTTCTAGTTTCACATAAAGTAAAAATGCCTGTTTTGCATTTCAGCAAATGTAAATGCTTGTTCCAGTTTTGGAATCAACTCTAAATGCAGTAAGATATGAAGGACTTGCAGTTATGGTTGTGCATTCTAGTTAGTCATGGTCATTTCTAGGTAGCCACAACACCCTGACACTTTGTGTTCTTTATACAGTGTCAGAAGGTAAAATATTTCAAAGTATTTAAGTGGCCTAGGAACCTTCAGTAGAAGGGAATGTCTATGGTTGACTTGTGCTAAGAATTTTCGTGTCCTCCAAACTAACATTTGAATAGATAATTCCTTCATTTTGACTGGAAATGTCTTAAGAATTGGAGGTGACTGGGGCTGGAGAGATGGCTCAGGGGTTAAGAACATTAGCTGCACTTCTAGAGGGCCTGAGTTTGAATCCCAGCACCCACATGGCAGTTCACAACTTGCTGTAAACTCCTACCCAAGGGGATTTGATGCCTTCTGGCCTCCAAGGGCACCAGGCTTGCACATGGTGCACTGACATGTAAGCAGACAGTTAAACACATAGCATTAATAAAATTAATTTGGAAAAAAAGTACTGGAGGTGGTGGGGTAGGTAGATATGATTGACTATGAAGTCAAGAACAGTAGTTTGACCTTGATGATGACTTTGCAATTGTTTTACTCAACTTACTAAAATAACTTCCTGAGTCTGACTGGCGTTTGTTTTAGTTTAGATCTTTTTGGTCAGCAGGTGACTAAAATCTAAGGGAATGTTAATCAAGATGTTGGCTGTTGTTCCTTAAATTAATGTGTAGTCACCAAAAATAACACAGTACCTTAGAGCATCATTAGCTTCCCAGTAGAAAAGAGCAAGTTCCTATTTCTTCTCGCTTACATTCTCTCTCCGCCCAGTCATCTCACTTCCTGTCTGTCTGTTCAGATTTCCTGACTTCTATGGTTAGTTAGTGGCAAGCTCTATCCTCTGATCTTCAGACAGGCTTTATTTGTACAAGCAAGATAACACCACAAGGAAAAGCAAGCTAGGATTTCCCAGGAGATACTCTGGTTGCCTCTGAGAAGTCTCAGCTCTATCTGGTGTTTTGAAACAAGGTTTCTTTGTGTAGCCCTGGACATCCTAGTACTCACCAGGCTGGCCTTGAATCAGAGATCCGCCTGCCTGCGCCTCCTGAGTACTGGAACTAAAGCGTGAAGTCAACTCATAGATGCCGTCACGTCTGTAAGACATGAGTATCTGGGTGAAGGGAAGTTAGCACAGCCCTGGCAGGGAAAACACTCCATAGCTACGTGCTAGGGGATTTTTATATAGGGTTTCTCCCACACCCCTCCTGTAATGGCATAGGTGAAGAACTAGAAGAAAATACACAAACATGTGCATTGGTTGCCTATAGTGACGGGGACTATGTGATGTGCCTCCTGCCATCTGCCTCCATCTTTATGCTGCTCTTGTCATGGTTGCTAGGATACTCTGATGATCACTCTCCTTGAAGAATTACATATTCACAGGCTATATTGCCTTTCCCAGAGACTTTTTAATAACATATTCTTGACTACTACTCAAGCTTATTTATGGCCAGCTTGAGCTAAAATAAACATAAAGAACTCTCAGTGGGGGACATGTTCAACTGAGCTAGCATTTCTTCTCAAATGATGAGTCTGATTTCTTCTTTATGGCCCCCTATGGCAGATGTAATTGGATTGTGTTGCTTTTCATGTATTTATATATATAACATTTAGTGGAGTGCTTTCTTTTTATTTTTTAAAGGCTGGAAAAAATTTAAAGTCTTTATTACCAGGCAGGCTAGAGAAGTTGGAATATCAGTTAGTGAACGATTTTATTAGGGTCCATTTTTCTCTTCAGTCTCTAGCTTCTCCACTCGATTGTCACTTTATGTAAATGTAGAACACCTATTGTGTACAGGTGTGTAGAACCTGTGTGTGTGTATAGGCCCTGTTGTGTCCTATATCACAGGACAGGCGTTACATTGTTTTGCAGGCTTTTACTGGTACATGGGATTTGAGCCACTAAACACCATATGGGAATCATCGAGGTAACCGCCAAAGTCACTAAGGTCTGAAGAGGGCATACTTAGAACTGAAACGGGAGCTAATGAGACCTGCTGGCTAGTGTGAGAGTGGTAATGATTGCGTGACACTAGTAAGCACACCAGAAGTCACTCGTTTGCATGCCTTAGAAGAACGCATTCATTTATTTGGGGAAGGTGATGTTTCAAGCTTTTAGTAGAGTAGGGCATAGTAGCACACACATTTAATGCTTTGCCAGGAAGCCCTTGAGATTAAGGTCATGCTGGCCTATAGAGTAAAACCCTGTCTCAAAAAATAACAACAACAAATGTATATATGAGTAAGTGAATGCCTTTGGTAACAAAAAAAATTAAGCAAAGTTTTGTATCAATGTTATATTATTGAGATTTATCAATGGGAGATCCCAACTGCTGTGATATGACACAATGCAAATTATGCCCATAAAAGCTATTCTAAATTTTATGGAGTAATAATTTTTTACGATTCCATATTCTTTCTAGTGATGGCAGCTTCCTTTTAGGGCCTTTCCCTCTGATCCACACAGGTAGCCCAAGTAGCTTTGGACTTAGGCAGGTCAGAGTGAGGCTTGCTGAACCTCAGCTGTATTACCTACTAAATGAGATTAATAGTAGTAGCTCTTAGGGTGATTTTTCAAGATTCACTAAATTTTGTATGTTAAGTTTCTGACTCACAAAAGGTATCCGTTAGGGTTTACAGTTTGTTTTTTTTTTTTTATTTTAAATAGCTTGTTTTACATGTCAATCCCAGTTCCCTCTCCCTCCACTCCTCCCGCACCCCCCCCCCCAGCCTCCCACCCTATTGCCAATTCCTTCCACATAGGGGATGTCTAGAGTCTGTCATTTCACTCAGGGTAGGGTCCAGGCACTCCACTAAGAGTCCAGGCTGAGAGTGCATCTCTCTTTGTGCTATGGACACACGATGTCTGTTTGTATTCCAGGGATAGGTTGCCCAGGACTCCTCACTGACACTCACATTCGGGGATCCGGATCAGTCCCGTGCTGGCCTCCCCGCTGTCAGTCTGGGGTCCAAGAGCTCTCCCCTGTTCAGATCAGCTATCTCTGCTGGTTTTTCCAGCCCATTCTTTGCCAATTTGCTCATCGCTCCTCTCTCTCTGTCACTGGGTTCCTTGGGTTCAGTTCAGTGTTTAACTGTGTGCGATTGCCTCTGCTTCCATCAGTCACGGATGAAGGCTCCCAGATAGTTATAGACATCAAGTTCATTATCAGGAATGGGCATTCGAGGTGGTCTCTCCACTATTGCTTAGCTTGCCAATTGGTGTCATCCCTTTAGATCACTGGAGGTCACACTGGTGCCTGATCTGTCTTCTAACCTATGATTCCTTCTTCCCCCCATTCTACCCCCCCACTCAACCCTCCTGTTCCCCCATGACCTACTCTCCCTTCCTCTTCTCCCCCTCTCTTCTTCCCAGCTCCCACTACCCCCCACCCCTCGCCGTGTTCCCCATCTGTTCAGAGGATCTTGCCTCATTCCTCTTCTCTTGGGTACTATGCATATCTTTTAGGTTCTTTCCTGTTATCCAGACTCTATCAGTGGAAGTGCAGACTGCCAGTATCCTGATCCATGTCTAAAATCCATATATGAGTGAGTATGTGCCATGTTTGTCTTTTTGTAACTGGGTTACCTCACTCAGGATGGTTTCTTCTAGTGCCATCCATTTACCTGCGAATTTCAAGATTCCATTGTTTTTTTCTGCTGAGTGAGTAATACTCCATTGTGTAAATGTACCACATTTTCTCTATCCACTCTTCAGTTGAGGGGCATCTAGGTTGCTTCCAGGTTCTGGCTATTGCAAATAATGCTGCTATGAACATAGTGGAGCAGATGCCCTTGTTGTATGAATTTGCCTCATTTGGATATATGCCTATGAGTGGAATTGCTGGGTCTTGTGGTAGATTGATTCCCATTTTCCTGAGGAATCTCCATACTGATTTCCAAAGTGGCTGTACGAGTTGGCACTCCCACTAGCAGTGGAGGAGTGTTCCCCTCTCTCCACATCCTCTCCAGCATAAATTGTCTTCAGTGTTTTTGATTTTAGCCATTCTGACAGGAGTAAGATGGTATCTCAGAGTTGTTTTGATTTGCATTTCCCTGATGGCTAAGGATGTTGAGCACTTTCTTAAGTGTCTCTTGGCCATTTAATTGGATCCTTTGGTGTTT